CATTTATTAGTGTCAACCATTATACACATTTATATAATGATAAATTATATATTTATAATAGCATTAAAAATATGTATTACATTTAAAAACAATACTGTAATTCAAAGTCATACTTCAAATATGACATGATCGGTTTGTCATTGTAATAAATATTTAGGACTTGAACCTTTATTAGAGAAATGAAGTAATTTCTGATCCATAAATTCTATAATATTCGTTCACACAGTGGATTACGTTAAACAACGCCTAAACAAATATTGTTTTCGCAATTTCACTCATCATGTAATAATTGTGTTTGAAGAACTTCATGTAATGAAAGTTAACATATATTCATTGACTGATGGTATTTTTTTACTTTTTTGCTGGCGATATAATCTCATTCTTTGAACAGCTGTAATATCTGTTTTGCCTAAAAAATATGTTCCATTTTAATAACTTCAAATATTTATAGAAACTATGAATAATATATAAATAACTTCTAATCAATAAACTTATGTTTAGTACACGGTGCAAATGTTAATTTGTTTTATTATTTTCAAGGAACAGGGTAAAATATTCTTTTGATTCAAGCATTTTTCATAAAGACAAGATTTTGTACTACGATGTAACTTTAAAATGTTTTATTTATCTATGCCGATTTACTTGTTGATATCGGTACGCATACAACGTTGATGCCGGTACGCATACAACGACAGATCTCTATTCACATACACGACGACTAATCACATTCGACCCGTATTGAAATGATTTCATCGAGAGCGAATGACGTACAGTTCTGCCGTAACGCACTTCCGTTGCATTTGCACGGATTTACACCCTAGTCGCGTCTAAAGAAGTTTTACTTCAAAAATATTTTTCTCAAATGACTAGGATCTTTATCGAGGTTGTCCTATATCTATGTGTTGAATTTATTATTACAATTGTATTATTGATGTAAAAACTATTTACACTTGGAAACATATTGCTATATTTTTTTTTCAAGTAAAAATAGATATCACTGCTGCTTGATATCAGGTTGTCTCTAACGCAAATTAAATTTTGAAATTTCATTTATCTTCAAATAAAATAGTTCGATTTTCAAATGTAATTTCATTATAATTTTCTATTATAACAATATATGTTTTAATGTAAACGTGAATAAAAAGTGGATTCAACATATGCAAATAAAACCGCAATGTGTTTATCAATTGCCTTGGCGATAAAAATACCTATTGATATGCACATAATCATAACAAATATGTATATGTGATATATAAAATATCACAGAAATTATTGCAATAGTTATGTATGATAAGAAAATTCGTATCTGCCCGTGGCTTAGTAGTAGGAGCTTTGGCCTTGCAACAATTTCATTAAAATAAAATTAAGTTTTATTAGTGTTTGGATTCAACCTGGTTCGGCATAGATACTTCTATACAAATATAATATTCATTGTAACTTTTTTTTTATTAATAAAGTAATTTAGATTTACTAAAGGACGATAGATATAAAGTATCAAAATGTTTAAATTAAAAAATAAAAATATTTTATTTTATAAGCAGAGTAATTGTTAATTATCAATCATCCCTTTATGATCAAAATCACGTGTTTTTAAATCCTTCATTTTTATTCTTAAAGTGTTTTTGTCCTTTTAGGATAGTTGTAAAAATTATTATATTTAGAAAAAGTGTACCAGATAAAATATTTCCCGACGCCTATGGAATGTTTTTTTTTTCCAACAAATTAAATCGTAAGTGAAATTTGATAGTTCCCAAGGTGACTTAATATTTTTAGACGAAAAGAAAAGTTTGACCTGATTTCATTAAAAACTTTCTACTGCTGACTGAAATAATAATATTCATTTCTAGATAACAGGTAGATTTCTGGAAGTACATAGTACAATATTGTTTTAATGAGAATGGAGAAAAAATTACTAATATTAACGTTGTTGTTCCGGTTATAAAATCAGTAAGGTTATAAAAATACACTTTCTATAATACATTTATATAATATATACATATACTCATACATTTCTTCTAAATATTCATATTTTATTTATTAACTAGGTGTATTAATCAAGTGCTAATTTGAGGCAACCCCATGGTTGTCATAAAAAATTGGATAATGCAACATTATTTTTAGAAGTTTTATTAATGCAATTTTATTATATGGATTTATGCAAAGAAAATGTTACTCGAGTTTAAATAAACTGAGATTTTGCTAAAAAAGTTATAAATAATTATATTGTTAAATAATCGAGATCACTAGTCTAGTGCAATTTTAGCAAAGACTTTAAAATGTTGCAATGCAATTTTATATATTGCAAACTATAAACACCTGTAAGCTCATAAAGGGTCTAATTTTTTTAAAAACAGGTCAATAATACCTGTAATTTATTTATTGACCCATATTGTGTCGAAGCAAAAACAAATTTTGAAGGAAAGTCCTGTTACCACTTGTGAAAAGAGGTTTATCATGACTCATCTAAGATAATAATGAGTAATCTTATATAAGAAGACTTATGTATTTTATTTATGTATGAGCAAATAGAAAATATTTGCAAAATTAGTGAGTCATAAGGAAAATATACTAGTTTAAGGATTTGATATTTTTTCCTATAATGTTGTTATAAAAAAGTCCTACTAAAGTCACTTTTGTCAACAATTTGTAATCATTGTGTTAATGATAATTTTGACTAGGTGTAAGTGTTTTTTTTGCCTTAAGGCAAAGTGCATATAAATTTTCCAACATGAGTCCTTAAAATAATGAGAGACAAGTGATTAAGTTGACATTTATTTATTTATTTATTTATCTTGATTTCTTGATTTTTTTTTAAACTAAATATTACAACATCTAGGCATTGACATCTAGTAATTGTACTGTCTAAATATTTTTTTTTATGAAATTGAATAAAATTTTATTTATAGACTTGTAAAATTAGTAATATAAAGTGTGCATGGTGCTAACTCTAATTTATGCACTTTTTTATATAATATTTGCATTGGTAAGTAAAATAAATATAATGGTAAGTAGAAAAGTATATGAATAAATAATATATTTTTATATTAAATAATAAAATTATATATTGTTTATGCATTTATTTACAAATTGTTTAGATTATTTGCTTATTTATATTAATTAATCTATAGATATTAAAACCAAAATTCAAAAAATTAGCAAGAAGAGCATATAGTTTTATAATAATAATAATAGTGTATATTGAAATACAATAAAATTGTTAAATTAATAAAAAAAATGAATTATTACAAATGAAGAATGCAATAGTTATCTACAATGAGTTTCTTTATGTAGAAATTTAATCATTAGATATTTATTTTCATAGTAAATTTTTAAATATAAACATTACAAACATATATAAATTTTTGAAAGATATCTGGAAAAATTGTATCTTTTTTATAAATTTTACATATTTTTTTCTGTTTTTTTTTTATTGAAAACGTTTGGGACTTGTAGAATTTGTTATATTTAGTAGATCCAATAAATAATTATAATTTTATAAATAATATCTACAATAAATTATTTATATATAAAATTCAACCATTAAATTTAGACAAATTTAAAAAATGCATTCTTATGCATTTTAAATAAATTTTGTTCTTATTTTTATTAAAAATGTATGGGTCTTGTAGAAGTTTGTTATTTCAATAAATATTTATGAAGGATCTCTTCAATAAAGAATTTACCTTTACTGTATAATGAATAATATATTATAAAATATATAATTAAGGATAAAAAATAAATTCTTATATTTTTCATATATTTGAAATATAATAAAAAACATCTTCAAAAAGCAAATTGTTTTTTATTATTGGATTTACTGTTCGGAAAAGAAACAATCAATATATAATAAAAAACGTATAAAACTTGCATTCATATAAATGAGTATTATAGTAGTAATTCTATAACTATAAATTAGTATAAAACATGCTTTTTTATACTTGGAATAAATTATTTTTAATTTTTATGTCAATATTTATATATTTATAAATAATATCTACAATGAATTACTTATACAGAAAATTGAACCGTTAAATATAGACAAGTTTAAAAAGTTTAAAAAATGCATTGAAAAATTAATTTTAAATTAATTTAGTTTTTATTAAAAATTTATAGTCCAATAAATTATTTATACCGCAAAATATATTAATAAATATATAGTTTAGTATAAAAAAATACATTCTTATATTTTTTAAATAAAATATAATAAAAATCGTATAAGTATTAGGTATTCTTAATCGGAGTAGTAATTTTATAAATATAAATAAGTATACAACATGCATTTTTATAGTTTAAATATATTCTTTTCTCAATTTTTCTTCAAACAAATATTTATAAATTTAATAAAAATTATCTACAGTCTACAATAAATTACTTATATAAAAAATCCTATCATTAAATTTATAAAAAAACATGCATTTTCATATTTTACATATTTATTTTGTAATATTTTATTAAAATTCTAATAAATTCTGCAACTTATTTTGTAGTAACAACTCATTTTTTTCCAATTTTGTAGAAGTTGTTTAGAAATTCATTAAAATTCAATATATTTATTAATAATTAATGATTTTTTTTATTAATAGCATTCTATCATCAAATATATAATTATAAGAGCATGCATTTTTTGTATTTCATATATGTATTGTGTTGTAATTTTTAGCAAAATCCTCATATGAGTCTCATAAAATTTGTTTGTAAAATAATATATGTATATTATTGTTATATAAATAATAATTTAGCGAGACATTTTGAATTACTAAATTTTAAGTAAATTTTTGAAGAATCTCATATAATTTGTTTAATATTTCGATAAATATTAATAATATATGTATACAAATATTATATTATTAGATATTGTGTAAAATTTAGTGAGAAGTATATTTATCTCTCTCAATTATCAAATTTTATTTAAATTTTTGAAGAAACACAGAAAAAACAAATCCAAGCACCGATATGCATTAAAGAGGTCATCATAGTTTTAGAACGTTGCCTTTGTAGTGGGGAGATTATCTGGTTATTTTTACAGTTCTGTGATGAGTTCAGTTCGTTTTCTTTGGTTGTAAAATAAATCATATGGACATATTGTATATAGATAATTTTGTACTAAATTTAGAAAACTTTAGTAGTAAAAAGTTAGTTGAAATAGCAATACGGTGTAGTGAAATTAATTAAAATTGTAGAGCAGATCGAACAAGTGTGATACATAACCTCAAATGTCAAATGATAAAACTTGATTTAGCTTGGAATTAAAGTAGTAGGATAGTATTTTGTGGGTGTAATTACTTACATAAATTGTGTTATAAGCTGGGAAATATAATTACAGCGTGTTTATAGGATTTTGTAAATTCTTGTATAAATTCTTCGACTTTGACAAGTGTCGCCATCAAGTGACAGTTCAACGTTGTACCAACCTTGAAAAAGTACGAATTATATAAATATAATTATATAAATATAAATATCATATTCTAAATCGATTCTTATTTAATCCAAAACGTGTTTTAATACTAAATCAATTAAATAAATGTAATTTTTTTACATTTTTTGACAATTAATATTAGTAGTTTCCAGTGCTGCCATCATGCGGCCATGTTGGCGCTTGAATCTGAAAGATCTGCCAAGACAGTCGATGCTCGAACTTCGTAGTGTAAAGACATCATTCGCTTAAAAATAATTAAAATAATTATTTCTTAACTAAATAAATCGGTTTAAATTGTGTTTTCTTGTGCTAATAATACAAAAGTGTCTGTGTGATTGAAGGAATTGTTAAATTTCTTACTAAAGTGTTAAAAAAGTGTCAACAAGTGAACAACGGCCATCTGTCAAAACTGTTGAGTTTCGAAAATGTCTGGAAATGTCGACAGCTTCTTCTACTAAATTGTAAGTATAATAGACTTTGTAGTTCAATTTATTTTTTGCACTAAATTTGTCAAAATACTGTCAAATTAAAAATTACTAGTTATGATTTTTACATTAGGTAGTGTTTTACATTTGGAGTCTCAAATTTCAGCTTACCTTTCTGATTTATACAGTCAAAGTTATTTTCCGTATAATATAATAATTACTAGTCTCAGAATTTTGATTTTTTTGGCTTTACAATATTAAGAAATGATGGTAAAGTAAAAGTAGACAATGAATTTAATTTTCATAACCTTACTACTTTCACTTATTGTTAGACAATGAATTTTAAAGTGCTTATTAAAGTTTTTTTTAAACAAATTATTTTTTAAACAAATTATTTCAATGTAATTTTATTTGACAGTAGTTTGACAGTTTATTAAATAGTTTTTCAAAATGGCGTTACTAATTTGTGAATTTGCATTATATTATTTTTTATAAAGATTTTAGTTAAAATTATTATTTAGTTTAGATTAGATATTTTAGTAATAATTATTAGTAATAATAATAATAATTTATTATTACATTATATTATAACATCAAGTACTTGAAAATTTATTCAGAATAAAATATTTTATTCAATTAACTTTTGACAGTTGATCAAATATTAATTTGCAAATATTTTTAAAATGGCGTTCCTGATTTGTAAAATTTTATTGAATTATTTTTTGAAAATAAGGATGGACAAATAAGAGCTTCGTGACAAATCCAGTTAAAATTTATAATTATAAAATATTTTTTTATATTATAAAAAATTATTTAGGCCTGTACAATATATTTTTTATAAATTTTTGACAGTTAGTAAATGCCATTGACAATATTTTCTAAAATGGCGTTACTAATTTATAAAATTGCTTCATATTACATTTTATAAATAAAAATGAACAAATTAAAGATTACAATTAATATTTATATTCATAATATCATTTTTACAAACGATTTTAAAATTAATTTATGCTTAAACAATATTTTATTTAATCAATTTTTTACATGAGTTTGATAAAATTTAATCAACAAATATTTTTAATATGGCGTTACTAATTTATGAAATTGCTTCATGTTACTCACATTTTATAAATAAAAATTAACAAATTAAAGATGACAATCAATATTTATATTTTATAAAAGATTTTAAAATTTATTTATGGCTAAACCATATTTTATTTAATTAATTTTTGACATGATTTTGATAAAATTTAATCTACAAATATTTTCAAAATGGCTTTACCAATTTATAAAATTGCATTATATTATGTTTTTACATATAAAATGGCGTGACTAGTTTTTAAAATGGCGTTACTAATTTGTATTATATATAAAACAATATTAAAAATATGATTGCATTAAATATTAAATATTCCAATTGAAATTTATGATTTATAATCATTTTATATCAATGACAAAAATTTATCAGGGGGTAAATTTTTTTTTAATTTCATTCTAAAGATTCGCAATTTACTTAAAATTTCATGTATACCTACGTGAAATATAAAACATGAGGTATACTTAATTAAAAATACTTTTTTTAATTACAATCACACTTAGGACAAAAAATACTTTTAATAAAGATTTTACTATTAATATTATGAAAACAATATTTTTAATTTTTCCTGATAAAATTGGATACTTTTTTTGTATCTTTGTGGTTTAGTCTCGGAATTGTATTTGTCCATCTTCAAGCATTTTTATTTATTTGCTTATTTATTTATTCTTAAAGCCATTTCAAAGTAATAATATTACTACAGAATTTTTACCACATTACTTTTTGTTACAAAAAAAAAATGTAGAGGGATAGAAAATTAAGTCGAAATACCACATGAGCTTAAATGAATATTATTTTAATAATATATTTAGGCTCATATAATTGGAACATTAGGAACAAATATTTAGTTAATATTATAATAAAATATTTAAATTTAAACAACTGATTTTTCATTTATCATTTTAGATAAATCCCGCTCTGAATGCACCTAATTTTGGAGTTTTCAAAAAAACATGGGCTTGCATAAAAAGACGGATCACGAAAGCGGTTATTTCGAAGGCAGCGACTTAGAATCCCAATCTTCCGACAAAAATGCTCTTTCACTGGACAGTTGTCACAATAAAGAGATGACGACAAAGAACCACCAAATGAGTCCCACCAATGGACACCACCATCCCTCCAAAAGGGGCCAAAAAAGGTGCAGGGACAGCAGTAATAATACACCCAGGAAGCAGCAGAAACTGAGCGGCAGTTTTACCAAAAACCAAAACCATCATCCTATTAAGAATTTAAATAATTATGAAAGTGATAAGAGCAGCAACAGCGTTTTGGAGATTCGTGAAAGTGTTGATCATATCGATTCGGTTTTAGAAAGTAACGGCATTGTCGAACAAAATGGAAGGATTAATGTTGAAATTGTTAAGTGTAAATCAGTGCAAAAAGACGATTCTGTTATTTGTCTGGGTCCTATAGAAAGGACCACGACGAATTTCGACGACGAACTCGAGGAAATTAGCAGAATTAACACTCATGGTATGTCGATTATAAAACTAGATTGTAGGTGATAAAATACATGATTATACGACATTTATAGAACACTCTGGATTATTTATATTTATATGTTTATTATAAGTTTATACAGCAAATTATGCTGTGGAATGTCTATTTATGAGCAGCGATTTCTGCATTACGTATGCGTTTATTAATTTTTCTTCCTATAACTTTATATATATATATATATATACATATTAGGGTGGTCCTTAATATGGACATTTTCAAATTTTCTTGCCCCCAAGGGCTCAAATGGTTCCAAATTGATAAAAACCAATTTTCTGAAAGTTTTAGCTCTTCATATTGTCTTTTAGATAGAGCGCAATTCAATCAGTTTTGTATGAAAATAGCATAAATTTTTTTCTTCAAAAATTTAAAAAATGTTTTTCGATATAATTTAGCAAACAAATGAATGAGTTTTATTCAAAATTTGCTGCTAAGTTATACCTAAACAATTTTTTTTTAATTTTCAAATTTTTTTCCATTCTATTTCCATACAAAGTTTGATTGAATCTAAAAGTTAATATTAAGAACTAAAACTTTAAGAGATTTATTTATTCACTGTTGACGTTTCGGAACTAGGTACTTTCCATCTTCAGGACATCTGTCGAGAAACATGTTCTTGATAACATTTAAGCAAACAATATGTTTAAGAAAAGCAGAAGATGATGGATTTTTTATATAAAATGAATAAAATTGTGGAAAAAATAATGTACAGAAATATGGCAATATAATCAAAATGAAAATGATAAAAATAAATGAGTGGATTATATAACAAAATATTTAAATCCATCATCTCCTGCTTTTTTTAAGCATATTTTTTGCTTAAATCTTATCAAGATCACGTTTCTTGACTTCTTGATGTCCTGAAGATGGAACGTACCTAGTTCGAAACGTCGACAGTAAATAAGTAAAGAAATGGGTTTTTAAAAAAACTTTTTGTTTTTTATTACTTTTTGGATTCGTTGTTCGAAGCTCTACAAAATATTTACAAATGAAATTAGAAAATTATGTACATACCAAACCAGAAAAAACACAATAAATTATATAAAATTTATTGAACACTGAACTGATTTCAAGACTTACGCGGCACGTACGGTAGAGTGAGTGGATGCGTGGTGTAAGAAACAAAAGAGGAATGAGAAATAGAGAAAGAGATATAACGAACGAAAGATTCTAACACTGTAAAGAATTACTTTTTGAAAGAGATGAAATTTATAATGACTTTGTAAGTGACATGTAAAAGATGAGAGGAATTTCGTTTGTTGACACAAGAAGTATTAAGGAACGACACAACTATCTTCAGGTTTATCATATGTTCTGATAGCATAGTTTTGAATTGATTTGGGTTTCTAGAATTACATATATTTATATGAATGTTTTAAAATGCATAATTTATATTCGGCTATACCGCTTTCGATTTGCTGATTGGTTTCAATTTTTGTTAATTTACCAGTATTTTTATAAAGGTTTCTTCACAAATCCTGATCCAATTTAAAAAAAAAAGCGCTCATCCAAGTTTTTTTCTTGTTTTATTGGCGTTGTACATAATGTAGTACATTAGCCATTTACAACTATACTTTATTAATTAAACTAATTATATTAGTGGAATTATACTTAAATCTAATCAACTTCCTTCAATATTATTCTAAGATGTTAGGTTCGAAATTTATTTAAAATGATGGTCTGTTTTTCGGTAATTGACATTACAAAATATTGTCACAATTTTAGAAATTTAGAAAAAAAACTATTTATATTGGATTCATTTCAGATATCTGTAAACTTATGTTTTTCGTCTTAAGACAAAATATCACTCACCTTATTAAATATCTTACTTAAAAATATATCAATTACAAAAGTAATTTTATCTTCATGTACCTACTATGTTTTTCATGAAATTTGATTAATTCGTTTCATTATCAATATGGGTTCAATGTGTTATCTTGAAAATTATATCAAATTGCTTTATTGTAGAAGTTTTGTTAATTTATGGAGCCAAGGTTATGGGTATTTATCATATATATTTCTTAAATTGTGAGACATAAATCATATGGGCACTAATATCATTGTGTTTTTATTAAAACTCCAAAATATCTATCCTAAAATTTTAATGATATATATGCAATTTTAACTATTTGCTTCCTTACTAACAATTTTGTTAAACTTTGAATTGAAAAGAGTTTGTTCATTTATGGTAAAACTCCTTTTCTTAAAATAAGTTTTTATGATAAAACTTGAACAACTACATATCAAGATATTTTTTAAATAAAAAACCTGGTTAAAATTAAATGCAATTTTAGGCAAATATTCAAAACCTTTTTAAGATTTAGTTCAAATAACTAAATAAAAATGTACATGGAAATTTTTAATATCTTGGTTTTTAATTTGGGTTTCAGTCAAATTTAGTTTTTTAAATTATGACTTTTATTTTTGATTTAAATAAATCTATCTAAATTTAAAAAAATCTCACGGTATATTATAATCCTTATTGTTTTTTACCGAACTATTTTATATATTTTGCTCTTCATGTTTTATTTTGCCGATATAATTAATTAATTGATATATTTATTCAGTCTTCTAGAGCAAAAAAATTAACAAAGATCAAGTTCTGGAGTTAATTTTTTTTCACTTGATCTTTTACATATTTTCTTTCATATTTTCTTAAAAACTAGATCGCCATCTCTACCTTGTTTCTTTTTTTTTTGTCACATCATAATTCAATATGATTTTTTGAAATTCTTCATTTTTATTTTGCTAAAACGTTTATCTGAAATATAATGAGTAGCAGTTTTATCTTCATCAAGAAAAATGTAACAAATATCTAATTTTAGAGATCGTTTTTTAAATCAGATCCTGTTGCTTAAAGTGGGATTTTTATTTATTTCCTTCAGTAATCCTACAAAATAGATAACCATCTATTATAGATAAATAGCTTGTTCTTTTTTCCCATGCCATATTATTTTCAATAATGTTTTTTTTCTTCAAAGTTCTATTTGAAATATAAGAAGTAACAAGTTCAAGTTAATAACTTAACGTAATTACATTTCTTCTAAAGTGAAATATGCGTCATCAAATTTGGAAGTATATTTTTCAAATAGACTTTATGTTTTTATTTATTTTTTAATATAATCTTAGAAAATAGATCTCCTAGTAAGTCCTCATCGACTAGGGAGTAAATCTGTACAAATGCAACGGAAGAGCGTTACGCTTGAGTCGAGTGCCAATGATTCGTCATTCGCTCTCGATGATATCATGTCTATACGGGTCGATTGTGATTGGTCGCCGTGTCGCCTTAGAAGGTTCTTTGATTGTATAATAAAATAAATAACAAAACAAAATGGAAAATCTGCGCCGTGTAAAACCCGTAAGTTTATTGAAGTGTTATTTGTGGTTACTATATATTTTTGAGGTTATTAAAATATAAATTATTTTTTTCCTTCTACATTATCTTAGAAAATAGGTCAACATATATAATGCTCTTTCCTTTTTAACTAAATCCCACGGCATTACATTGTCGTAATTTTAATTTCCAAATAATTTCGTACAACGAAAGTAATTCTACTCTAACCTACTCTCTTTTGTTCTAACTCTAATTACAGTTGCATAAGCACTTTTTCGTTGAACATACATACAACGATTTCGACATTGGACATTTTTTTTAATTCTTTATTAAAAAGCATATTTCGATTTTATTAGATAATCGCTTTCGAAGACGTTTGTTTGAATTAAATGTATAGAGGTATTTCATAAACCCATTTTTATATTGCGTTCATGGCCATCGGTGTAGGACTCCGCGCGTCGTGGGGGCTTCCTTAAATATCTAGGTCGATTTAATTTTGTATTTTTTCTGATAACGTGACCTAGTTTATTGTTGGAGATACCTTAGATATGTGTAATCTTTGAAATAAGAAAAAATTTATATTGTCATAATTAATGTATCAATTTGAAAATATAGATTTTTCATCTGTGCGGACGTGAATGCTATAGCATTCACTCTCAATGCCGTGCAGAATGATATTATTGCTATGTCATTCAAATTTTAAAATCATATATTTTGAATTTAATTTTATATTTACCTTATGTATTTGCAATTATTGTATCTGTAAAGGTAATAACTGATTCTTGGTTTAGGTAATGCAAATATAAATGATAAATTAGTTTGGGCAAGCACATTGGATAAAATAAAGGCGTAATACTTGACGTGGATGCTATAGCATTCATCGTACATAACGATTATCTGATATGATAATCTGGTGTTTAATCAAATTTCGGATATCACTACCAATTTAACAATAAAATGACTATCAATTTTTGTATCTTGCTGAAAACTTCTACTGGCCGCCAACGTGTTAACTCTTTGTTGAAGTTTGGTCAGAAAATTCGATTTGCTAATTCTATGTGCTTTGTAAACTGTTCGGACGTGTTTTCATTTTATTATATTAGCCATGAAGGCGGCAATCTTCATGGCATTGAGCTTTTACACCGGATTATTGCTACCAAATTTGGATCAGACTTATTTTTTACATTTGTCATTTGGTCCTTTTGCCAGTATGGTACTCGGATTTTAAGGTGCTCTTTACAAATTTCAACTTTGCCTCCTCGAATTTTCACGGCAAGTCGCCGCCATGTTGAAAAAATGGCGTCAAAAACAGTTTTTTTAAATCTCCTTTTCGGCGTTTTGATGTAAATTCTATCTAGAAATGGCACTCATGTGGGTGAGTTACCATTGAATATTATATTAATAATTTTATTATATTGGCCATGAGGTGGCAACCTTAATGGCTTTGGGCTTTTACACCGGAAAGTTGCTACCATGTGGAAGGGGTAGTAAATTTGGATCAGACTTATTTTTTCATTTGTCATTTGGTCCTTTTGCCAGTATGGTACTCGGATTTTAAGGTGCTCTTTACAAATTTCAACTTTGCCTCCTCGAATTTTCACGGCAAGTCGCCGCCATGTTGAAAAAATGGCGTCAAAAACAG